AAAAAGTTGCCCGTAGTCCCTATGAGCATATGAAATTGAGTCAACATTGATGCAACGATGTTTCAACGTCCGGATGTTGAATCAACATTGAATGAAGGTTGTTGCAATGTAAAATCCTGCCAGAGGTGATTCTAGTCCGCGTTTAATGTATTGTAGAAGTGAACAGGATTCGACAAATAGAAGCGATTATTCCGCTATGAAACCTATTCAGATCTGGAAAAACTCAGTTTCATATCCTTCCCAGCAGTTGGAAAAAAGAAAAAGTTCAGTTTAGTTTTGTTGTCGCGCATTTTCCGTGTGCGGGGAATTGTAGAAGTGTGCTGGTTTCGATAGAGAAAACGTTTCTACAGCTGTAACTCATAGTCAAAGCTATACAAATTAAATTTCAGTCTTTATCCTGAAGGTAGAAGATAGTTACCGATAGTGGTACATTACTCGAGTGTAGAGGGGAGCAGGATTCGACAAAATATGCGTTTATCCAACTGTGAATCCTATTCAGATCTGAAAAAAGAACACGGTTTTACGTTTCTCCCACCAGCTGAAACAACTTTGCCCATGATGTTACATTGTGTTTGATGTATTGTAAAAGTGATCAAGACTCGACAAAAAAAAGGCTTTTATTCTCCTGTGAATCTTTTTTAGAGTTAGAAAAACTCGGATTCCGGCCTATCCCAGTAAAGTGAGACCTCGCTATACGCTCGGGATGCGTTCCTGAAAAGCGGAGCTTAAATCTTGGATTGGGACAGTCATACCTCGCCACACGCTGTTTCTCAGCACGATTGTCTCGGCTTTACGCTCTTTATACAATATGATTCTACCTCCCAATCCGCTCGATATACGCTTGGTTTTTCCGGAACGCATTCCGAGTGTATAGCGAGGTATTACTGTAGTTGAAAAAGTAGCGTTTATTATTACATTGTCCGTGTGTGATGGATTGTGGAAGGGAGTCGGATTCCACTTTGAATCATAATTCGAGCTACAATAACTCGGTTTCTGACCTTTCCCAGTAAATGAAAAAAAAAGTTGCCTGATTTGATACATCACTGAAGTGTGACGGATTGCTGACGTCTGTCTCGGATTCTTCAGAATTAGTGTTTATTCGTCTGTGAATCCTATTCAAAACTAGAAAATCTCGGTTTCAGACTACCATACAGTTAGGAAAACGTTACCAATACTGATACATATCTTGAATTTGTTGCATTGTAGGATTGAGCCGGATTCGACAAAAAGCGTTCATGAATCTCTGAATCTTATTTAGAGTTGAAAAACTCAGTTTCAGGCCTTTTCCAGCAGCAGTTGAAAAAAAAAATTCGCATAGATTGTCCGTGTGTCCGATTGTTGAAATATGTTGGATTCGACAGGAAAACTGTTCATTCCCCTGAAAATCATACTCAGAGCGAGAAAATCTCAGTTTCAGCTTTTTCCCCTATAGGTATAGTAAATGTTACTACTTTGCTCAAGTGCATTGTAGAAGTTATCAGGATTCGATAATTAAAAAAGCGTTTATTATTCTGTAAATCTGAGCTGGATAAACTCGGTTTCAGGCTTTCCCCATTGAAAAAAAAATATTGCCCTTGTGTGAAGGATTAGCAGGATTAGTTAGCAGGATTCGATAGAAAAAAAAAAACTTTTTTTCATATGTGACTCATACTCAGAGCTTGTAACCTTGTGGATGGTCGATGACGCCTACGGCGAAACCTCTGGTTGCCGATACATCAATATAGTTAGTAATAAAAAAAATTCAATATAGTTAGTAATAAATCTCATCGCAGATCTATAGCGCTATCCATAAAAACCTAATCAAATGGATTCTTGAAACGTTCCAGCATGCTGATAGGCGTCATTGAGAATCAATTGCGGTTAGTTGAGTATGTCGGGCCAATTTCTTCCAATTGGGCCAATTTCTTCCAATTGGGCCAATTTCTTCGGGCACCTCCTCGCTCTTTGCTTCTTCGGGGAATCCTGTAGCCGTTTTCAATGTTCAGGCTGTTTGGAAAGTCACTCCCCATTTTTATATTGTAACAAATTTGTCATTTTGGGACTTGGTTTTTGTGCGAAAGAAGCAGAGTTCAGTAAGTTTTCATGAATTCATCGATTTGTTCGTTTCCGGTAACCATCTACGGAACCAAGATGGAATTCTGGAGCAGTCCCTCGTCCCGATCCAGACTTGCCGGCGGAACGAGAGAGATTCCGTGCAGCTTTGGGCCTTGGGCCTCTTCGATCGCGCGTGCCGCTTTCAAGCGCTGAGGGCTCGACATGAGGATTAAATGGATTAGGCGGATTACGATGGACGCCCACCGTGCCCTGCAACTGTATGCGATGCAAAGGAGAATCTGGGATTCTCAGGGATTCCATTCTCTCGTCACAACGAAGCTTGTAGCCTGTTGTCAAGGTATCTAGGACATTTGAGCTCTTTTTCATTCCAATTAGGATGCGGCTGTGCAGATTCTGTTTCCGATGTATTTCATTTTGCATATGAAGGAGCCCAGCTTTCTCTCCAAATTCTCATGATCAACGCTTCTGTTTACTCTAAGAATCCCGTGGTCAAACCGTATATGGGCATATTCATCACGCTCGTTACCACATCTGAGAAACGGTCTATTTTAATCGAGGGGGGGAAAAAAAAATCCAATTTCTAAGGAGGGCAACGTCCATTTGTTAAATTCCATGCCTTCCCCTTCTTCGTCCTCTCCGCGGTGTCCAAGATTGGATATTGGCGCCATAGAACGTATATTGAAAACGGCTCCAGGATTCCTCTCACCTTAAAGAAGTCGACAGCGTGGAAGCGTTCCAAAGGAATTGAGAGAGATAGGTTCAAAAAAAAAAAGGGACATGGCCCGTATGGGGATCGAACCCACGACTTCCGCGTTATTAGCACGGCGCTCTAACCAACTGAGCTAACAGGCCTCACACGCTTGTTGTTATCAATTATCTTGTCTTTGTCATTGAGTGTGAGCACCGTGTGAAGAAACGCAGGGGAATATTGCGTTCTGTAATCATTAATCCTCACCCGTACCCAAAAGAGCCATCGCGATCCGAGCTCCACGTCCTCGTCTAAGGAAGCAATTGAGATTCGGGGAACACCATGGACAGGCAAAAAGGTGGGGGGCAATGTTGACGTTAGGTACTAGACAACTAGGAGAGTCAAAAAATAATAATAATAATAAAATAAAAAATACAAAAATATTTAGCTTTAAGAGGGTTAGGCCTACCCTAAAATTAAGGAACGCTTGACCTCGACACGTGATATCGATATGTTCTGTCATGTCTCAGGATGAGACATTTATCTCACAAGTCAGTTATTTGAACAAAAAGCTTCTCACAGTTGATGCGAGATGGCGACTTTGCAGTCGCTATTTCACTGGGATCAGGGAGTGATTCGTTAATTTAAGACCCAGTACCTTTCTTGCGGTTCTTAGTCCATTTCCATAGAAAACGTAAAGGAAGACACCGGAATTTCTCAATTACTTTGTTTAAATAGGTTAATGAGTCCAAACAGACTCTTGTTAATCGTGGAGGAAGCATGATTCAAATTGAGATTTCACTCCATACAGGGAGGATTTAAAATAAATGTGTTGTTGTTGTTGTTGTTGAGGCTGCGTCTGGTTCCCCTCGGGGAGGATCGGGTGTGATTAAAGATATCACCCGAGTCTTGCCGGACAAGCACCTTCAGAGGAGATGAAGAGTCTAATGAAATCACAATGGGGCTCAAATCCTGTTATGGAAAGTGAAGGCAAAAGATGACAATCGGAAGAAGTACTACTCCCTGGAGTACTCCCAGCCAGGTCCCCGTTAGGGGAAGCTCAACGATTTTGTATGCAAACACCAACTCAATCGAAAGCGTCTTTAATCCCCTGAATGTCGTGGCGTATGTCGGCATTTGACGTCGGCCCAACGTGGGGAACCAACGTTGGGGTGCTGCTGTGGTATTCACCCAGTGTATGGTGTGGTTCGTGAGGACGCAAATGTTTTTGCACGAACTTGGCATGAAATGGTCTCGTGTCAATGATGGACTGATGAAAATGATTGAAAATCAGTTCGAGGTTTCCAAATTTGGGCAATAAAGCGCCTCTTCCAAAAAGTAAAAAAAAAAAACTCAATCATCGACACAGGTGGAATCGGTTTGGAATGGTGTGGAAAGAGTATGGAAATCTCGAGATTTTTTCAAACTCCATATGGAATGTGTGGAAGAGAGTGGGATGGGGAAGATTGAGGCCGATGAGGGAAGGTGTGGACGGGATGAGGGAAGGTGTGGACGGGATGAGGGAAGGTGTGGACGGGATGAGGAAGCGTGGGCGCGGGGAAAGGAAGGGTGGAGCGTGTGGACGTTCCCCTCACTCGGTGAAAGGCTTCGACTCAATATTGGAATTGAGGGGAAAAAAATGGGTTGCTTCTCGGTGTTTCGATTGATAATACAACAGAAACTCTTCCCATTTGAAATAATGAAGCAGAGCGTAGTTTTCGGTTCCGACACAGAAAGCGAAACTACAGAGGGGAATGATTGACAAAAACGACCGGTCGCTCCCGCTAGGATGGGTTCCATCTGGGATGGGCGTTACGGCGTCGGCGACTTCCCATACGACCTGTCGGAGAATGTCATACCGCATCTTCAATAGTCGAGTCGCGAGTGCAGAGCCGCGCCCTACAAATGGGAAGATCGTTTAAGGTCGACAAAATCATCCCGTGCGAAAACATGAACTTTCACATTTACTGCATAAATTCACTGGTTGCATATTTCCTCATTCTTCAACGTCTGCCAGATAGTATTATAGAACTACGCAGCGCCAGGCAAAACCAAGCCTTTTTGCAAGCATGCCGGAAGACCAACTGACCAACTGCCTGATGAAGACAGCATTTCAAGGCTGCAGGACTGAGCTGGAATTTGAAGTCAGAAACGTGTTCTCGGTCTAGATTTTGTAGAGTCAGAGAAAGTCAAATGCTCTCAATGGGTGCTGCTTTCAGATTTCTTCAGGCCATGGTTTGAGAGAGAAAAACAAAGCTCACAAAATAATTCAGTTGTATTGCCAACATTTGTCAGAATTCCAATGCACATATTCTTATGTGAATTGAACTGGGCAACCACAGGTGAATGAGAAATGGAATGAGCTCAAACCGGTATCAGAATGTGCAAAAATAGGGCAAATCGTCTTTGGAATGAGAAAAAAAATCTCAGAGTGAAATGAGGAACGCTTAATGTGGAATGCAGAAAGAAACAGAAGTGGAATTCAGTGAGGAGTGGTCCAAGAGACAAGGCTAGAATGGGAAATCAATCTTAGCCTCATTAGCCAGTAGCACCATGATGAGAACAAGAGGACAAAAGAAGAGTTCTTTTTCGATGTCATAACTGTGTCGCTTGCGTCAAGCCCTCTGTGATCGGCTGCAACGATGGAAGGGCGAGCCGAGGGTCCTCCGGAGTCCCGCAGTCCGACGAGGCCGGGCTTCGACCTGTCGAGGATAGAAACACTGAAGGTGGTGTAGTACCTCTGGTACACGAGGCAAGAAAAATCACAGGGATAAATTTTTCATACCAGGGAAAGAGATGATGTCTGCAGAGAGGTCAGATGGGACGGGGGCATTCACGGCAAGATGCCTGGCCAAACTTTCCAGCCAAACCTCCATCACCTCAAATGGAGGGCTGACCAACAAAAAAAAAACAGAAAAAATTGTCAAGTTTATATAAAGTCTTCATCTCCAAGAATGAAACACAAGCCAAGAGGACCGTACCGGTTATCGGGGTTAAGATCACAGGCAAGGAAAGCGATTCTATAAAAGGTTTCAGGGCATTCCTTGCAGAATTTCTCCAGGAATACACTTTGATTCAGCCCAAAGTCAGATGACCTGGGAAGAAAATCTGGATCTGCCTGTACTCTTCCAATCAGCTAAAAAGAAACCATAGACAAAATGGCACTTAGTGTCAACATCATCAAAAGCAATTTCATCTTTATTTGTGCCTCACCTCACAAAGCACGATGCCAAAGGAAAATATGTCAACTTTTTCGTCATATTTCTTCCCCTTCATCATTTCTGGTGCCATCCAATACGGATTTCCAACCACAGTGTATCGTTTTTTGCGCTCGGTGCGTCGGCTGCGTTTACTGCGGCGTCGTTCCAACCCCCCTCCAGTTGAGCCCTGAGAGATAATGCGTGCCAGGCCAAAGTCCGCCACCACGACTGTTCGATCCGGCTGTTGCCAAGGAAATACAGAAATACAATATGTAGAACTCCCCTTTGATGGCTGAGTATTATTCATATATTATGCTCAATCATGAGAGTTTGTATGATAAAAGCTAAATTTAAAATATAATTCCTTTTTAAGGAAATGTTCCAGAAACAAAAAGGGGTAAGATGTCAAGGTCATCATCTTCATTAGTTGCAGTCAATATTAGTTGAAGTATGACGTGCACAAAAATATTTAATATTTCCACAAGTGCTAATAAAAGCATTTCACTGCAAGAGAATTCTGGGTAAATGCACAGAATCTCATATCATTTCCCAAAGAAGGAAGCTTGCCAAAAAATGAAAATATTATAAATAATAAATAAATGCGAAGAAACAATGGACATACTTCACGAACAAGGCAGTTGTTAGAGTTGAGGTCCCGATGAATAATATTCATTGAGTGGAGATAGGCCATCCCACTGGCAATGTCTTTGGCAAAGTATGCTCGCTGGCACCATGAAAGTGGCTCACTCTCATTTTGGATCACGTCTTTTAACGTCCCTCCACTCACATACTCTGTGACCAAGTGAAGGCACTTGTCCATGCACAAGACCCCAATGAATTTGAGCACATTTTCATGCTCCAGGCTTCTCAGCACAGCCACCTGGCACAGAAAAAGACTCAAGTTTTATATCAAATTGAAATGAAGCCTCAATTTCTCCAATAATTGTGAAATTCAAACCTCCTTGAGGAAATTCTTCTGTGCATCTTCATCCACCCGATACAGTTCTTTCAATACGTAAACTTCCCCAGTGTCCTTATGAGTGACTTTGAACACCTGTCCGAAGAAGCCACGACCGAGAAGTTCTCCTCGCTGCAGGTCTGACGCTCGAAAGAATCGTTGCTTGCGAGGTTCCACACGGAACGATTTAGTCCGGGACAGATTGCACCGGGACGAGTTAAAGTCGTCTTCGAACGACCTAAGGGAGTTCAATGGGACTGTAGCCAAATTTCTCTATTAACACATCAAAAAGTAGGATGGAGAGCAACTGCTGACCCATCAAAAAGGCGTGGCATGGATGAACTCCTGGGCCTGGACTCCTTTCCACGTTTGAGGTTCCGAGAGCGTCCCTCGCTCCCACCACTCAGGTACCCTTCGTCGCGACGCTTATAAAGGCGTTCCTTGAATGAGTTGTTGAGGGAGAGGCAGGTTGGTGGGGGAGGAGCACTTCGGCGACGGTTGGGCAGAAAACTCTGGGGAATGTGCTCAATTGTCAGCTAGAAAGAGGAAAGTGGAGCATATCATTGGACAAGATTCAAAGGAAAAAATGAAAAACACTATTTGAAAAAGTTTTCCCACCTGGATCACTGAGGTGGAATTGTCCACAAGATCTTGAATCTTGTTGAGTGGTTGATTGGCCACAGGGGTGCCATTTACCTCAAGGATTCTATCCCCAATATGAAGGCACATCATTTCGTAGCAGCTGCTATCAAGCCTTGAACAAAAAAAATTGAGAAAACTAAAGAGCTCATCTCTATAAGCAACAGAGACAGTATGTGCAAGATCAAGCCACTCACTGGGAGATGCGGACGGACTTGGGGGTACTCGGAACTCTAAGAATGTTGGCAGACGGGTGACAGTTGTCGATGGAAAGCCGGATTCCCCTTGGGGCATTCCCTGATGGTGGCAATTCAAGGAGCTGTATGGAATGAGGCCTTTTGTCTGCCCAAAGGGTACTCTCCACTCGCTGCCCGTTGAGGCCACTCACTTGCTTCCGGTAGCAAGTCCCACTGTTTTGCATCAAACAATGCACAACAATACAACATTGATCAAACAATGCATGAAACAAGTCTAAACATTCGATATTGAACCTACACAAGAAACTGCTATAAGATACTGACCAGTAAAGCTTGGACCTCTCCACCAAGGCATATGCTTCTCCATCGCCAATGCAGGAGCTGCAGACTGCACAGCAGAAGCACTCCGGATGAAACTTGTGCTCTCCCGCAACCATCACCGGGCCTGTGATCACCTAGAAACCACAGCAGATGAATCAGAGAGTGTTAGGACATGTTCCTGGATGCAACAGGCAATGAGGGCATTTTGCATCTTATAACTCTCAAACATTTACCTGTGCGCAATTCTGACAGCATTCACCATACTTCATCCAGTAGTCCTTCTTGCAAAAAAGGAGCCCATCTTTCTCAAAGTACCAATTGGAAAGTGCTATATCACAGACAGAACAGCTGCAACATAGAGTATTCAATCATCATTGCATGATCACCAAAATCTCACCACCAAGGGAACACAGCAAAGCAACAGCACGAACCGGAAACAGTCAACATGCCACTCAGAGTCGAGCGCTTCGATGACTTCTTCATCGTCTATGAGATTCAGACAGCCAGCACAGCAGGCAGACTCGGTGTCGTAATGCGGCAGGTCTTTGACATCTTTGGCCTTTTCCACATTATTGGTTTGGCATCCCTTTGCCAATTCAGCCTTCAACATTAGAGGCCCTGAAATGGCAAGCAAATGCAACATAACAAAATGAACAATTTATAGCACTCAAAAGAAAATGAAGACTGATAAAATCATTCCTCATAACTAGCCATGAGACATGATTTTGACTCAGTACTAGACTTAGTAATACTCATTGGTAGTACTGAACATGTTAGTAGTATAAAGTAACTAATTGCAGTTACATGTACTTGTAGGCTAATTGCAAGCTGCTCCTTGGCAGGATTCACTGGTCGGAGTGTCCTATAGCCGAACATCATTCCCAGCTTTGCAAGCGATTTCAATGACAGCATGGTTGAATGCAGAAACCTTGCATTGGTCACATTCACCTAAATTGAGCAGCACTGAATCAGGGCTAAAAAGTTTAGTAAATGCTTTCACATTAATAGCCAGACTTGGAACAGTAAAAAAAAAATGAATTTCATGGTATTCTGCAAAAACCCACAAACAAAATCCTTCAGATTGGCAATTTATGATAAAAGGAGAAAATCTAATGGTAGTGACATCAGCAAAAACTGGAGGTGTATGGCTGAATAAGGACAGTTCCAGAGTTATTGGGACAAAAGTGGTATAAAAATGCTTTCCAAAGATTCCCTTCACCAAAATATGGCTGCATTGTGTGGGTAGGAAACTTAGACTAAATAAAAGATCCATTAAACAAGCGTCACCTGACATGAGATGATTTTTCTTTCCTCCTACAACAATCCATTTTGATAAATTTACCATTTGCTTAGTGAACCTTATTTTGTACTATTTTGTTACATCAGTAATGCTGGAAAGCTCTCCTGGCCACTTCATTTTTGATCAACAACAAATGCCATTCGGCATGAATAAAGGTGACAATTCGGCCTTTCTTGAAAATATGGAGCTCCTGGTCAACCCAAACTGGACAGAATTAGAAAGGAACCAGGAGAATGAACTCTACTGTCTAAACTGTGTTACATCAATAATGTGAAATGAATGGCCTTGAGTACCAGAAGAACTTGCACACGGCAATGGAATCCTCTCCAAAACTAAACTTTTTTTTTTAATATGCACAAAAAGGCAATTGTACCACACAATTATAAAGTCTCATTTCAGCAACTACTTATTAATGAGGGATACAGTTGTCAAACCTCACAGGAAAATTTCTAGTCCGGCAGAACAAAATGCAAAACCTCAATAACTTGCCATAAAGAACAAATATCGATAGGTTGGAGAATCCTGTATTGATGCATTACATTATTTTCTTTACCATATAACAATGCTTACTGAGAACAACATCTTTAAACAAATTCATTTAACTGTTAATTTAGCAAGACCTAAGGAAAATTAACTCATGAGTTTTTTAACTTAACTTTTAAAAAAAATAGAATGTAAACATAGACAAGACTGTCATTGTTGCCCCCACCCCCTTCATCTGCCACTGACTAAATTTAAATAAACTAAATAAAATTCAAATAAACTAAAATTAGACTGAAAGTGAATCTGTCTAAAACATTATTACAAGTTCATTACAAGTAAATAAGCCCATCTCCCATAATAATTCTCTTCCCCAAGGACTTTAACTAGTGAACCCTTATTTTTGCTCATCAAGGGACCACCAAAGAGACCACATCTGTCACAGACCATGGGTGGATTGCACGAAACCTAAGGCTTAAGTCAGTTTCATGCAATCCACCCCATGTCTTTAGGTCACGGCAGCCACCCCACGCATGCTCGCCCGGGAACACTGCTCCTCGAATCATGCAAAATGCATTCTGGCAAATCCAAAGCATACAGTCAAATGCATTCTTCACACGAGTTCACACACATCCTGCGACTCACTTGGACGACTGCATCGCTCTAGAGATGGCGTCCCTGCGAGCTGCCCTATACTTTCACGCGGTTCCCCCTTGGGATACGTACCTAAAGGCTGTTTCCTTCAAAAATGAAATAAAATAGATGCTGAAAACCCATCCCACCTACTCACTTTCTAAATTATTCCACTGAGTCAAAAAGAATTCCCTCCCACACCTTTCTCTCTCGGCTGGGTGCTTCAATCTATATCCAATGGCTTGGATTTGCTTTGTATTCTCAAGAGGTTTCTTAAACATTAAATATAGATAAGTCAAGAAAAAATTCGACGAGATAAGGGCCCTGCGAGAGACATGGAATAAATTTGACTTTATTTCATCGCGTTCTCCCTGAGAGGCGCCACAGGAACCGCAAAACCGGGAAGAAACGAATGACGAACAGACCTATGAGCGTCTGCCGCGAGTCGACAGGCGGAACGTCTGGAATCCCCCTCAACATGACGGGATCTGGAAACAGGTGCCCCGACGGGAACACTTCCGTGGCATCCTCCACTGCGTCGCCATCTTTAGCCTACATCGCACTCCACCCTCGTGACGTCATCCTCGATGGCGCCGCCCTGCGGAGCTGCGAACCAACACGGGACGCGGGGGTCGCGAGGAGAGGAGTCGACTGAGCGTGGTTCCGACTATCAGCTGCACTGTGTCGATTCTCGGGTGGTGTGTGAAGCGGCATATCATCATCGCTGGCTAGGCCTGATACGGCTATTTGCATCAGCGTTGAGCCGTGCACGGGCCAGGCAGAGACGCGAGCTTAGCGTGAAGTTGGATCGATGTTGTTTTGGCCTAGGCGTAACGTTATGTAATTCGTCTGTGCGAGATTTTCTGCTCGTTGGGTTAAGACAGCTTTTCATTGGATGAATCTCGGTTAGTCCAGACGTAGCTGAGGCCTCGGTACGGGATGGTCGTTTCCGTGTAGGCCTAATGCAATGCCTGATTGTTTTGGTTTCTCAGATGAAGCCTGACGTTCGACTGACGAGTTTGATTTAGGACGTGCCAGTCGGTCGACTCGTTCTCGTCGATGATGACCGGAAAGACGTTTGACTGAGTTTGGATGGGAGACAGCAGCGAGGATGACGTTGGGGAGCAGGCATTCCCTGAGGACTTTCCTTATGCCTCTGAGCTTGAAGAGGTGAGTTGATTCACTAAGATTTGTGGGGTTAATAATTAAGGAAAATGCAAGGTTAATTTATGAGTAATGTGAATGCAATGAAACATGTTGATATCTTCTCGAATCCACCAACGAACTGCCCTCGTGCGGTTTCTCCATTCTGGGGCGTCCCTGTTGCGGAATGGTTGAAGTTATGCCGATTGGCCCAAGGACTTACTGGTTATGCCTTGGTCTTGACATTGAATAATGCAGCCATCAGCTGAGCTTTGTAGACGTTTTTGGCCCTCACCTCATGGTTGATGTTTTGTGTCAGTCGGCCCCCTTCTGCCTTGGAATGCACAGACAGGGTGACTCCGCTCCGACCTGCAGCTTGGCAGCTCATGTGTCACAGGTGCCAGAGGTAAATCTTGCTGGGTCTTCTGCACCTGCAGGATGGGCAGGCAGTGATAAACAGTCCCAATCCAGATGGCAATTAAACCTGTTGCTCTGCGCACCTTTGAGAGGAAAGAATTAGACCTTGGATGCTGTTTGTTTTTTTTTTGTTTTTTCTTATTTTTTTTTTTTTTTTAGGATGTCACCATTGCAATGGAGTAGGCCAAGGATGAAAAGGTCCTTTTTTTTGCTGTCATCACCTGCTTAATTTTTCAATGTCTCATTTTCTTCTTGTCCTCTGATACTCAACCTCATCAGGGAGCAAGCAGAGTACATGGTCCAGTTGAAGTAAATTAGATTCTGCAGTCATGCATTCCATTTTGTAATTGTAGCCATTGACCAAAACCTTTTAATCCATCTTGAATTGAGAGGGAAGACAACTACAATGTGGTTGATTTAGGGGAAGGTCTCTGAAAATTCCTATTGCTTCGGTGGTTTTTTCCAAGGCTGTAGACGATATAGTATAGCATCAGGCAGAAAATTTAAATAGCAAGGGAAGGAAATGCTTGGTCATTGTTAGTTTTTGGGATCTGCTGTGACTTCTGTGTGAGGTCATCGCGTTCCGACCCGGATTTCAATTGGATTCGAGCCTGAGCTCTCCGAAAAGGAGCACGATGCGAATGAATGCGGGTTACGCCAACCTCGAGCCACTGTCAACCAAACGAATGGGAATAGTGCCGCGGGACACCTCTGCTTGGACGGTCCAGTTGCTTAGTTCAAGGATTTCTCGTTAGATGGCAGGGTGCGGTTTCGTCATCGGGGATCCTTATGGTCCCTGTGCGGGTCCGTTTTTCGGTCGTGGTCATCGTCGAGCTTGATCGCCGAGCAGACGAAAAGCGGTGTTGATGCATGTGGTGCGGGAAGGGCATGAGGAAAATTGCGCGCATCTGTTCCGTTTCGTTCTGCACAGTTAATCCATATGCGTCTTCGGTCTGTCGGTTCTACGCTTCCTGATTTTTTTTTCCGTTGCTATCTCTGTCGCTACGCGTGGAGATACAAGCCAAGGATGGGGAATGAAACGTAATGATGGTGGCAAGGGAAAATAAAGAAAGAAGGAGCGAGCATGAGATCCCCTGATCCCCAATGATGGAGTAACAAGCTCGGGCACACGGTTGCCGCATCCCCCGCCTCGATCCCCTGAATCCCCTCTAATTTTGCAAAGACGCCCCGTCATCCTCCCCTGTTTGAAAACTGTTGCCACGCCGAGCAGTCGCCTTACGGCGCGAATAACAGCGACTCACGGCGCGAAATGGGATCACGAACGTGAAGACGGGATAACGGGAAGAAACGCGGATCGCGCAACCCTGCCCGCGCCTCGCTACCTGACCAAGTTTGGACAACGAGAGAAGTCTCTCAGTCTCGTTCGGTGTGGAGGCCAGCCAGCATCTGGCCCACCTGCCTTCCCTTTTTTTTTTTTTTTCTTCTTCTTCGCTGTTGCGCCTCCGCGCTGTATATTTTAGTTGTTCACGGTCGTGTTTCCCCCTTCGTGTCGCCGTACTACGATGCGTGGATCCGCAGTGTGCTGATTTTTTGGGGGGGGGGTGTGTGTCTCGGGTGTCTGCCCCAGTCCTGGCGAAGTACCCGGAAGTCCCGCTGGCCCAGTCCTTGCTCGGTGCCCTTCGCGGGGAAGGGGGGCCGTCAAGCAGGAAGGATCACGTTTTCCTCCCCACGATCTTGTGCCGATTCGATTCATCCTCGGATGAGGATGAGGATTTTGGACGATGCGGATGTGACATCACGCGATCTGATCATAAATAATATTAAAATTAAGTTATTTTAGTCTCAACAGAATATTTTGTAATATTCACAGTCGACCACGGCGCTTTTGGTGTCGTTAAGTGAAACCACACTTTTGCGGTGAATTGAGCAAAGCCAGCGTAGGTCACGTTTGCGTTCAGGACTGGCGACTTTTGGAGCCCCGTATTGACTGATAAGATATCTGTCGAACGTTATCGGTTCGCAGTTGAGGTCATTGAATGACGAGGCGGGGAAAGTCCCAGTACTTCCCCTGGTACATCCGTGGTACTTCCCGTGGTACTAGCCATGGATGGGTGACCCACTTGAAGGGGAGGGACCGCTCCCCGAACCAGTGTGACAAGTACAAACGGTCCGTTCGGCTTTTAGTATCTTTTTTTTGTGTGGGACTACGATTCATCTCACTTCGCGGTTTTTCTCGCCTTCTTTCTCCGTGAAAGTGGAAAAGACTCCGGGGGAAAGGCCCTCATAAACGAGCAGGACTTGCTTTTTCTCTCTCTCTCTCTCTTCCCTCAGATAGAATGCGAGCTGGGGGTCCGTAGCGATACGTCAACTTCTTAATTTGAGGTTTTAAATTTAAAGGAAAATAGAGAGGGTTGGGGGGAGAAAAAAATATGTTGGACGTGTTGGACCCTGGCCAGGAAGCGGCGATTCTGAGGCAGCAGAATCAGAACAGTCGATGGCCCCGGCGGTCCTCGACGACCACGGCGTTCCGGGAAGTGAAGCACTGGCCGGTGTGGTGCAACCGGAGGCACCGGAGGATCTTCAACCCTCCGAAGGTATCATTAAGCCATTTTTTTTCCTCTTCCCCTAAAAAAAAAAAGATTTATATGAACGATAATTAATTATATGGAAACGAATTAATCCCGTCGATCTGACGGGTTTTCTTAGTGATGTGGAAGGGTAGTAAGCATAAGCTGGCAGTCTGCGTGGCGCCCTGAAGTTTTTTTTTTTTTTTTTGCTCTGAGGAGGTTCACATTTCGCGAATTCTTGCTTAGAAGATGGTTTGCAAGGAGATTTTCCTCCCCCTTACTCGTGCGTGAAGGAAACGCTGGGGCACCCCAGAATGGAGTTCATGGGAAACCAGACCCTCGACGAGATAGGAATTAAAATTAAAAAAAGAAAACGGATGGACCTGAAATGGGGAACGAGTTCTGCTCTTTTTTTTCGCCGCGAACGTGACGCTTTCAACATTTCACCTGTTTCCTCGAATCCTGTTTTGGTTACTGATTTATTTAGAGGCCCTGTAATATCGCTCGATCGGTCGGTTTGAGCCAGCAGGCG